GAAGGATGTGCAGCTATGACACACAACTATCTACTGGGGCTTTGGGGGAAAAATAAATAAATAAAATCTTTAAAAAAAAAAAAAGAAGTCGAAATATAATGATGTACACTCGAAATTTATATAATGTTATAAACCAATCTGACCTCAATAAAAAAGTAATAATTTGTGGAAGAAATAGTTACTTTAAAATATAAGATGAGAGCAGTACCTTTGTTTTGTTTCAATTCTGCAATATCCTAAAATCTAGTAAAATTTTTACCTTGAGCTGCACGTAAAAACCCTGAAAACAAAAATCCCCCAAAATTTACCACAGCAAAGGATAGTTTTTATTTGAGAAAAATGCATACCACATATCAATATGTTAAACATGTATCATAAAAGCTATAACACTTTATTCTTGTTTTCAATTCTGTAATATAAATTTTCTATTATAAAAAAAGATTTACCATGAATTTCAATATGTTCAGCTCCTGAAAACAAAACAAAAAAAATCACTGTAGCAAAGAGATACTTTTCACTAATACAAAATATACAAAAATCATTAATATTTCAAAAATAGTATAACAAATTAACACTTACAATAAGACAAAAGGGAACTGCAGTATTCCATCATACTTTGATTTTTAATACTGCATAACAAACGTTTCATCTCGCATTTAAACACACACCAATTTCACCACAGCAAGGAAATCATTGACTTGAGTTTTAAAAAGAGTTTTGTCTTTTAGATATATTTCAACACACCCCCGACAGCACACTTACTATACAGTTGTGCAAAATGTATAACTCTTTTTAACTTATATTAATAAAAGGTGGGCTTATAAATGATAAATGAAGTCAAAATATACACTAAGCCTCCCTTGGTTTAGTGATTCTGATCTGTCTACTGAAAGGAGAGACCAGTGAATATATTAATATATTTATTTTACATGTCTATTGTCACTGGCTCTTTCTTAGAGAGAGAAATATTAGAACAATCAGTGAAATAGGAAAGGCAGAGCTCAAGCTGAAGAAGGGTAAACTGAGGTTACAATGACAGTTGACTAAATGTATTTTTGATATGGATTCCAGAAATTGTTGTGCCATTTGTGACAATATGGATGGACCTTGAGGGTATTATGCTAAGCAAAATTAATCAGACAGAGAAAGATGAATGCCACATAATTTCACTCATATGTGGAAGATAAACAACAAGCAAACACA